GTTTGTTTATTTGTTCAATTATCTTGTGAGAAAGTTATATATATATAGGGTACTCTTGACTTAATTCATTAGTTTTTGTGCAAGTTACACCTTGGTAACAGGGTTCAAAGCTCCACATTCATCGGGTTGAATATGAGTGGGGGGGAGGGGGGGGCGTTGGGTGGCGGCCAGTGTGAAGTAGAGAAGTAGAAATAAAATGAAACCCATGCAATCTAGCAAGAAATGTTTATTTGGTTTCCATTTTTCAGGTTTCTTACAAATGAAATATCTGACAACAGTGACATGGCTTTGATTGTTCGCGTGGACTGCGAAAGTGTTCCAACAGTGAAGTTCTCCAAAGGCGAAGAGCTGCCAAAACTACTCTTTGAAGTGCCGATCTTAAAGACTCTAACAGCATCTGCGGTACAGAAAGGATCGTTTGGTAAATGTTTCTTTAAGAGCAATATTCAATTGAGTGTCAAAAATAATCCGAGTTTTTGTTAGTTTTACTTCACTTCGCTCTGTTATTGGTCCAGAAAACCCGCGTCTCTCTCTCAACCAATCAGATGCAAAACTGAAAGAAACCTCGACTTAGTTACGCGGGTTTTCCGCGCTTTAGGCAGATTGGTTGGTTTTGCTTTGACTTCTTATTGGTCCAGAAAACCCGTGTCTCTCTCTCAACCAATCAGATGCAAAACTGAAAGAAATCTTGACTTAGTTACGCGGGTTTTCCCGCGCTTTAGGCAGATTGGTTGGTTTTGCTTTGAATTCTCATTGGCGCTTAAAGGTATTTTCCTTCTTCTGTTTGGCTGTTGTGATTCCTTTGTTTTTGGTTTTACGACAATAAACTTTACAACACTCCACTCTTATTCGTGACCTAAACCAACACTTATTATTAGTATAGTAGCTTACTATACGTTCTCAATTTCTGTATATTAGATAATTAATGAATTTTATCCAAGCGTAAATGTTAGATTCTAAAATCTCTAGAACGACAGATTTCGGTCAGACTACTGGTTCTTTTAGTTTTTAGTATCTTCAGGCCTTAAATACCATTTGGCATCAGGCAGATGAGTAAAAGTGGATGTTTTTTGACATATTTCTGTTTTTTTTTTTTTTTTTTTAACAATGATGCCTTGTTATTGTGTTACAAGTTCCTGTAACAGTGGGTGTAGTACCTAAGGAAAGACCTGCACTTGGTGAGTGAGCCTTGAAAATCACTCGATAGAAGTGGGGTTGGTCCTAAAACCATGCATTGGATTCCTTGTTTTTTCGCAATTAGTAAGGTCACTAGCCAAGGTGGCAGGGTGCAGCTTTGATTGATTCGGGACCAGTCACTATTTATCTCCGGGGGAGGGGTCTGTGGATTTTGGTTAAGTCGCGAAAAAATGAACCTGATTCCCCCTCTTTATTGTTATGATCTCCCTCCCCCCCCATCGATGGCAGTTTATTGACAGTTGATTTTCTATATAACCCCCTATGTACTCTGTTGACGACAACTGATCCACCCTCAGTTTCCCCCGAAAATCGTGTGATCCTTCCCAAAAAAATTTCATCCGCATGCTAACCCCCCCCCCCCTCTCACCTCCGCGATAAATAATTACTGGTGCCTTAGCGAAAACCCAAAAGAGAAAAGGGTCAGTAGCATACATATTTTGTCAGGTGTTCTAACTGTCGTTGATCTGAGGAGTATTCCCCTCTCCGTCATCATCTACCTTTGAACTATCTCAAAATTTACCGTGTCTGGTTTTTTTTGCAGTCAAAGATGGTGAACCAGATGATGTTGAATTATTTGACATGGCTAAGAAAATCCCTCAACTGTGGAGAAAACTCGGACGTATTTTAAGAGTTCCACGGGGAAATCTAAACGAGTTTGGTGTAAATTACAGGGACGATGCCTATGAAAGGGCTTTTCAAGTACTATCGTGCTGGAGGGAAAATTCAACTGATGGTGCAATTTCAAGGTACCAAGTATTGTTCGATGCCTTGACCAAAACTGGCCGCAGTGATTTGGCCAAAAAGGACTGTTGTTACTGATCCAGGTCCGGTGGTTTCGACGAAAGAAAAATTTACCAGCCGGTAGTGAGATTACTTTATATGAAGATTTTTGCATAGATCTAATTCATATTCGCGTGAACGTAAAAGAGCGGTCAGTGTTTGTCATAACAATTGTTTTCGGTTGGTTGGGGGGGAGGGGGGGGATGTTGGTTGTGTCAAAATGAAATTTATCTGATTTCTCCCCCCCCCCCTTTTCCCGCTATAAGGCTCTGTAATATTCTAACGACCCCGTCTCTCATTAGCAATCAATTTTCTATCATCCCTTCTTTTAACTCAGTTAACCCGCTCTGTTCCCCTCTGAAAACCATGTGATCCCCTAAAACTCCCCAACCCCCCCTCCCGCCACCTCCTAGCGATGAGTAAGACTGGTTCCTAAACTGGTGAAAAAAAAGGAGAACGCAGTTTTCTTACGAAACTGAGTGAACTGCAGTCATTTTTTTATTGTGAGGGAAGTTTACATTTAACCAAGAAAACCTTGTTAGTATAAAAAAGAACCATAGCTCTTTTTATAGTTCAGCGTTTTTAATTTTAGAGGATTTTCCTGGATTTTGTTCATTTATTCTACTCTAAATATTCGTGTATGGTCTTTGAACTGTATAGTTGCTGTACTTTTTAAATGATTTCGTGACCTTTTGTTTCCATATTATCGAAGGAATTTCTACAGCAGATACTTCCATTCACTCTACTCAAATTTTAGCTGTACATAGCAATATTTCGTCAGCGAAAGTGCTCACAATATTTAAATTTGTAAATACTGAGTAAGGCTATGAATAATGTGAAGGTGAAGGACTCGCTACAGTACTAGACTCATGAGGATGAAATAGTCGAAATGTGCCAGGGATAAAGTGCCAAAATTTCCTAAAAGTCCCACACGAAGTAGCAAAGCTCTTCAGTTTTGAGAAAGGAAGTGTTTCTGGTGGAAAGCAAACTGTCTCTAATTTTCTATCTAAAAACTAATTTTTTTCTAATCAGCAATCCTTTTGTTTAATTTTATTCTTTTTTTTGACAAGAAGTGCTTTATCTTTGAGTGTTTGTAGCTGATCATGAAATGACTTTAATTGATGCTCTTGAAATACGACCTCGTTTATTGCCTCTGATTTCAACATCTAATTTTTATTTGAGACAATATCATAATATGAATGAAAAAACGATTAGTCACTTTGTCTCATTTTTTTTATGGAATCCATCAGCACTCTTAGATTACAACAAAATTATAAAAAGACATCTACAGTGAACCTATGGGGTTTGTGAAGTTACTGTACTCGTGTTTGTCTTACACTGAGCTCATATTTGCTGTCCCGAGGTATTTACCTTTAATTCTTGACCTCTAATATTGGCGATTATATTGACCGATAACGGTAAATGTAAAACAGGGCTGTGTTCTGGCACCAACTCTGTTCGGGATTTTCTTCTCGATGTTACTCCAGTATGCCTTTGCCGATTCTTCGGACGGTGTATACATTCGGACAAGGGCAGACGGCAAGCTCTTCAACATTGCCAGGCTCCGCGCCAAAACGAAGACCTTTGAGGTGCTCATCCGCGAGCTGCTGTTCGCAGATGATGCTGCCCTGGCATCTCACAGCGAGGCAGGCCTCCAACGCTTAGTCGATAAGCTGTCTCACGCCTGCAAAGAGTTCGGCCTTACCATCAGCCTAAAGAAGACGAACATCCTTGCCCAAGATGCACTGACACCTCCCGTCATTACAATCGACAATACTGAACTGGAGGTGGTGGACTCTTTTACTTACCTAGGGTCCACAGTATCAAACAAGGCATCACTAGACGTCGAGATCAGCTCAAGGATTGCCAAGGCAGCGGGAGTAATGGCCAAACTCAACAAAAGAGTGTGGAACAATGACCTGCTGAGCGTGAGGACCAAACTGCAAGTCTACCAATCTTGTGTCCTTTCCACACTCCTCTATGGTAGCGAGTCATGGCCCACATACGCCAGACAAGAGAAGCGGCTCAACGGGTTCCACCTCCGCTGCCTTCGGCGTCTTCTCCTGATCAAATGGCAGGACAGAGTCCCCAACACCGAGGTCCTTGGGCGAGCCGACATGCCTAGCATCTCTACACTACTCATCCAAAGACGCTTACGGTGGCTTGGCCATGTACACCGTATGGACCCCGGTCGCTTGCCAAGACAAATCCTTTATGGGGTACTGCGAGAGGGCGTCCGACGCACGGGCCGACCACTCCTTCGCTTCAAGGACGTTTGCAAGCGTGACCTGCAACTCACTGAAATCATCCCCAACACCTGGGAGATCCTTGCGACAGACCGGGAAGCCTGGCGTCGGGGTGTGAAGGACGGGGCTCACAGGGCTGAGATGAAGGCCAGGGCCGAGGCGACTATCAAGAGGGGGACGAGAAAGAAACGTCAAAGATCAGATCAAGAGGCCACCAATTACATCTGTTCCAGCTGCAACAAAGATTGCCACTCAAGAATCGGGCTTTTGAGCCACTCAAGAGCCCACCAACACTGATGCGCTGACCATCGCCTCTCCGAGACGAGGATGCCATTATTATTATTATTATTAACGGTAAATGTCGTGTATGTCTTAGCAATGCAGAAGAATTTGTTCTGATCAAGATGGCGAGTTATTGACCAACCTCAGTTTGTTGCTGTCGTCAATGTTTTTTATTATTATTTTAGTTTAAATGGACAAAGTCGAGTTGCATTTATAAAAAACAAACAAACAAACAAACAAACAAACAAACAAACAAAAAAGACTCCGCTTGGTCGACATTCAGCCATGTTGGTTTGGGCCTCGCGATTCACCAGTAACATATCAAATACTTACATTAAGGACGTGTTTGCTCATTTTAGAAATACTTGCGATCGGACACTTCCTCACCCTCCCCTCCTCGTATTATTTTGTAATGGTAGCTCCTTAAATGGTAATTCGGGTTCCATGAAACCTTGTGCGCCTTGCTCATTTTCCCGCTCAAACTGTAAATTGTAGCGTGGTTTGGAGATGAAATGTACGAAGCTCGGAAAGATGAAATGAACAAATTTCGTCGTGAATGGATTGACTTCTGATAGAACACAGAGCCTAGATGTATCTGTCCCAGCGTGGTGAAGCAATCTAATTTCGGAATTGAATCAAAATCGGGTAAGTATCACATAATTATATGCGAAAGCTTTCTATTAGCCGATCAACGAGAAAGGCAATAGCCAAATCGGCTGATCTGGCGACAATAGCGTGTTTATCCCCGGCACGTTTTTCTGCTAATCAATATATGGCTAGGTGTTGATTCAATTCGAGTATGGCATGTCATTTATTTGCCTATTCATTGTCGCTTGCCACAAGAAGTGGAAGCCCCTTAGCAGCTTGAACAGTACCACATGAGATGTAGAAGGTCTGAAGTCTGCGATGTTGCCAGAAACGAGGTTCCCTTTAATCCAATTGTAAAACTTAGACACGTAAAAATATTTGGCCTTTTCACACATCACGAATATTATCAACAATTCTTTCACGTTCGCGCGAAATTTAAGACGATCAAGTTTCGCATAAACTGTGATAAAAACCAAATTCACGACTTGCTATTTTCCTGTCTGTAGCCTCGTAATGCATGACGAGCTTTATGCCGAAAAAAATATTATGCTAATTAGCTGGCTGCACATTCAATGTGCAGCCAGCTAATTTGCATAAGTAATTCAAGCCAAGGTTTATGCCTCTGGGTGGCATAAGGTGTTTGCTAAACACTCTAGGAGATCCGATAATGGCTACGAAATAGTTAATAAAGCTCTCTTTGACTGAATTGGAAAAAACCGCAACTTCCAACAATTACATTTCTAATCATATTCCAGATACAACACTACTTTGTTTGCACATTGTCCCGAAACAAGAGTCCAGTGAAATGCCTCAAAGAAACTTAATGGGTCTTATTGGAAATAGCCTTAGGGGCAGTATGCTAAGCCTATTTTCTTTCTAGAAACAATGCATGTCTTAAAGAAGACAACAGTAAATTGTTAACACAAGGTCCACAAATAGTCTTGGCCAAATGACACAGCAAAATATAACAGGAACAATTTGAAACATGTAAAAAGAAGAAATTCAAAAATGATCTAAAAAATGGCACTGCTAAAGCTGATTAATCACCTCATGATGAAAGGTCTGTATGCGTGAACTTCGACAAACCTGGTCATAGTCATGCTGGTTGTGGGTTGGAACATTTAAAGTTGAGAAACTGTTTTGATTAGATAATCCAGAGAATAGATGTTGCTTTCAACTGATGGTCTCAAGGTTCAGCATAATACAAGTATTCTTATAATGACCTTTTACATGCAAAGATTTTGGAATAGCATTTTTAGCTTTTCCAAAGGCAACACTCTTGCTAACATCAACTATAACAGGGTAGAAGCTGGTCCTTATGTTTCTCTTAAACATTGTTACTGCTTTTAAGGTCATTGTGGGCAAATTCACACTTAAGAATATGGTCTGATGTGATCGCTGTGTAAGGAGGGTAAAAAAAGAGCTTAAAAATTACTATTAGGTATACACTGCCCAAGAGGGCATAGAAGAATAGGCTTCCATGATGAGAGCATGCCAAGTGATTCCAATCCAAGATTTATTGTGTTATCTTAATTGAAGTATTTATTATCAGGTAAACCTTTAACTTATAATCAAAAGGTTTAAGTAACTGCATAGACACCTACCAACTGCAAGTGTTAATGTAATTATCTATATTGATGACAGAAATGATAGTGCCTCTGTAGAATGCATGCTGCAAATTTTATGTTATTTATATAACATTAAAATGGTATATTTTTGGAAATTGCTGAAGGTACCGATTGATCAAACAACCTTTTTGTTGTATTTATTATACATATATTACCAAACCTTCAGTATTAAAATTTCACTGTAAAGTACGACCTGATTCTAATATTCAGTAAGAAACACTTCTTGTACATACCAAAATAAATAATGTTAGTTAATTCAGCCTATGATAAGAAAGTGTATTACAAAAGTGCAAATGTCTTTCCGTGCTTGATTTGTCTCATCGACAAAACAAAATGAAACAAATTGATCCAAAGCTCAAAGCAAAGTGAAGAAAAGTGATTAAGGCATAGAAGATGATCGTAACTGAATCATGTTGTCTTAAACAGAAAATAAACTTGATCTAAACTTCATCAGATGCAATCCATGACAACTTCAAAGCGATCAAAGTGTTTAATTATGCGAACTGCAATCCATTGCAGTTGGTGCATGTGTATGAGCATTATTTTCCATTGTCTCATTTTGACCCATTAGGCTCTCTCAGGAAAACTTGCTCTCAACTACGCATTTGTAGAATAATTTATGCATACTTAATGAATTACACACTTTGATCATGTTGAAGTCCTAATGCTACTGAAACCTGAACTAGGGGAAAATAATAAATTAAGCCTGAAATATACAAAATGCAAAAGAAAACCTTACATATGAAACAAAAGAAGCACACAATTTAAGACTAATTTACATTAAAATACAAGAATGCAAAAACTAAGCAAAGCAGGAACAAAGACAAATATGTAGTTGCTTGTAATCCTGGTGCCCACAATCCTCTAATGCAAACTTGTTACCTGAAGTCCTGAGTTGTATCAAGCAGCATGGGAACAAGCTGATTCACACTGAGCATGAATCGACTGAGTTCAAAACAACTGTGGGTGTGAAACAACTACACACTAAATGAACAATGCTTTATTTTACTGTTATGGAAACAAAAAACCCTTCATTCTTTTGTTATTGAAAGGAACAATGCTTTTGGAGTTTATCCTCAGACATTTTAATTCTGATCATGTGATTGATTTCTGCGTAGTCAAAGTCTGCATGGTGTTGTCAGTGACCAACACCGCTTGAGTGATAAAGAATTCACAAATTTATGAAATGTCCGTTGGTATGTAACGAGTATATTGTATTATAGAAATGAACAATGCTTGTAGAGTCATCACATGTTTTAATTCTGATCATCATCTTCATGATGTCAGAAATGTACAGTGCTTTAGTGATAAAGATTTCTAACTATAAAATTATTGCTTATTTACAGTCTGTAAGTCTGATCTTAAAAGTAATTGTTTCTACTGGCAACATGACTCAAGTTCATGTGACATGACTAAAAGTTTCAGGTGACTTGACTACAGTTTTGGGTGATATGACTGCAGGTGAGATGGTTTTCAGGTGACTTGACCTGTTACCATGTAGAACACACTCACATCAGTTATGATGCAAGATTTGAGATTAGTAACATCTTGGTGATTTCCTTTCAGGAGAGCTGGAATTAGTTGGCATCTCATTATTCTGTATAAGTGATGGTGGTGTTACAAATAACCCTCCTAGCTGATGAATTCAAGAAATCAACTAAAGGTGGTCTGTCAACCTTGAATAGACAGCTGGCTATACAACTTGCTAAAGTTCGGAGTGTAAAGGTTTGCATGTTAATGCCTAAAGCCACTGAGGAAGACCGAATAGATGCTAAGGAGCACAATATCAAAATAATTGAAACTTTGAAGTGTGTTGGTCTTGAAGAAGCTTACTGGTTAGGATATCCACCAGAAGATTTTGTTACTAACATTGTTATAGGTCATGATGTAAAGCTGGGATGGCCTGGTCATGTGATCAGAAGATTGTGTGGTGCAAAGTGGATACATGTTGTTCATACAAATGCTGAAGAAGTGGGTATACACAGGAATCTCAAAGGTGAAATTTCAAGAGGGGAAGACAAGCAGGACATTCAAATGAAACTGTGTGAATTGGCAGATTTGGTAGTAACAGTTGGCCCCAAGCTGAAAAGGAGTGTTTCTGTGAGTGCTTGCTCTGGTGACAAGGTCTTTAATTTGACACCAGGTCTTTTTGAAGAATTTGAAAATGATCGTCCGGAGCTAAACAAGAATGATCGATTTGACATATTACTCTTTGGAAGGGGAGATCCTGAAGACCTTGAAGTTAAAGGATTTCAAATTGCTGTGGATGCATTTTGTAAGTTAAAGCGAGAGGACAAGATATACAACTTCATGATTGTTGGAGCCCCTGAAGGAAGTCAGGACGACTTGATGGCAAAGTTGACAAGCGGTCCCGATAGCCCTAAGCCAATTATAAGAAGGTATGTAAAAGACCGAGATGAGTTGAAGAAGTTGTTCATTGGTGTTGATCTTGTATTAATGCCGTCGAGGACTGATGGATTTGGTTTAGCAGCACTAGAAGCCCTGTCAGCTGGAGTAGCCATTCTTGTGTCAAGCAATTGTGGCTTGGCAGAAGTACTAGAAAAGATTCCCAATGGTTCACAATGTGTATTGGAGCCAGATGATGACTGGGTAAAGGCCATCAAGAAAGTGAGACGAAAGAGCGAAGCAACTCGTAATGAGGAAGCCAGAATGCTTTGTAAAAAGTACAATGAGATGTACTCGTGGAACTCCCAGTGTGATGAACTTGTAAAAATGATGAAAAGAATGTGTCAAGGTGAGCATATGTAACTGTTTCTTTTGCCAATAGTAAGTGGATTGAGTGACAAGGTATCCCTTCCATTCGATAATTTGTGAAGCCTTTAACTCCCATAATTAATAAAGACAATTTAATTCTCATTACAATATCAATACAATATCAAGCTAACAAGTGATGAGAAAACCGAAAAATACCAAGTATGGGATAAGTATTTGATCCAATATGAAATTTTCTGAGCTAAAATCTTAAGAATTGTGTGGTAGACAGTAAGGAGAATTACTAATGAGTTATTGAGAAAATGAACCCAATAGTCTGTCATCAGTAAATGTAAATGTTCCTGGGTGTCTTGTGTATGGCACACAGTTCTGTCATGTGGTACAATGACACAAGCTTGGCAATGTCTGCACTGCCTTATTTCAGCACTCAAGTAATTAATTTCAGTCTTAGGTCACTGGATGTAAATGAAGTTTGATGGTATTTGTTTTACATGACAATCGTCAGTAATATGTTTCGCCAGCCATCCCATTCAATTGCTAATTTTGATGTGTTGTATCCATTTATTAACTCAGTGAGTGTGTGATGTTGTTTCTTGAGTTGACAGTTCGAAATTGAGTTTCTACTCTGCAACAGATATTCTGATCTGATGATTGCGCTTATTTTGATTAGATAGAGAATAATACATGCATGCATGTAGATGTGGAACTTCTCTTGGAGTGTTTAACTTGAAAGCTCATGAGTGAGCACAGCGAACAAGTGAGATGTCAAGTTGAACAGGCAAAGAGAAATTCCATATCTAAAAGAAACCATGTCTTATTTTGTTTGCCATATAAGCACAATAGCCCTTTACTGACAAGGAAAACAACTTTAATGAATGAAAATAAAAGTATCCACAATCCCTGAATAAAAATTGAAAAGTCAGTTGGCGAAAAAAATGTGTTGAAACAATACAAAACAAACAATGGGCATAATTTTCAACATACAAAATTCTCAGTTACTGACTTTGGCCTTACCAACAGAAGAAATCTTTCAGTTACACAGCCAAGATCAGCATGTGGAAAATCTTTCAGTTCTCGATTTTCATCCTCAGCCACAAGAAATGCCATTATTAAAGCCACTTCATACAGAAATTTTGGTTTTTCTTTCTGTATTTTGGTTTTCTTTCCCTTGTAGGAAAGTTTGAACATCATTTTCTTTAAGCGATATGTGTAGTTACAATACCTTGACACCATGCATGTTGGTCTCTAGCTTACAGTAATTACCGCATTTAACATTCCTTTTTAAGAAAAATTTTCAATTGAATCTAGTACTCAAAAGGAGAGTAGTAAAAACCCAGTAAAAAGGAAAGCACTAGCAGTTTTAACCTTTTGACTCCCAAGATCTTGTTAATAATTCTCCCTACTGTCTGCCATACAGTTCTTGTGATGTTAGTTGGAAGAATTTGGTATTGGATAAGCTAATAATCCCCTGATTAATATTTTTCTTTATTCTCATCACTTAATAATGTCTGCTTAATATTGTATTAATATTATAAGGAGAAGTTCTGTCTTGGTCATTCATGGGAGTGAAAGGGTTAACAAACTCAAATGGGAAAGAGGTTGGGTGTGACTGAGTTTTAGCCACTGACAATTAATAGTTCTATCTCCTGTATCATGAAATTCTATCTCCTGTATTATGAAATGACTTATTTGGACAATGAAGTGTGCAATAATGTTAAGTGTGCAAGGAAGACCTGTCTTCCTCCTGGCTAGTATTTTAATTTATCTCCATCTTATAATCTGATTGTACTTCATGCAACTGTGAATTGATTGTAACAAAATCAGTGATCATATGCCATTAGATATACCTACATGTACACTGAACAATGTAAGACTACATTCCTAAGCCTTAAACTCCAGTGCTTGGGCTTTCTGTTGATACCTCTAATTAGTATGTTTAAATATAGATACCACTCAAAAAGGTGCTTCAAAAAAGAGAAAGTCCACAGACAAAAGCAAACCAGGCAATGAATCAGGAGGTGAGTAGTTTGATCTCTTCACACAGATATACATATGCTTAACAACATAATAAGACTACATTCCTAAGACTTAGACTCCAGTTATTGGGCTTTCTGTTGATACCTCTGACTAGTATATTAAAATATAGGTGCCACTCCAAGTACTGCTTCAAAAAAGAGAAAGTCCAGAGATGAAAGCAAATCAGGCAATGAATCAGGGGGTGAGTTGTTTGATCTCTTGTTTTATGATTGTGTTGCATCCCTTCACACAGGAAATTAATAAGGGTCTGAGTGGTGTAAATAAGTTGGAAATATTCTTTTGAAACAAAATACCCATCTGTTAGACAATGTCAAGTTAAAAACAACAATTGCCACCTTTTCCTAATATCAAAATAAACCCAATAGTCCATTATCAGGAAATGTAAATGTTCCTAGGTGTCTAGTGTATGTCACACAGTCCTCTCACATAGTAAAATCACCAGCTTGGCAATGTCTGCATTGCCTTATTTCAGCACTCCAAGTGATAACTGTTTTGGTTGCATGCAAGGCAAGGGAAAAATTTTGGCAACTATGTTTGCAGCAATTCAGAGACCTGCCTGGCAGCCATATGCATGAAGCAAACTGTAATATTTTTATTACTCAGTGTTTTATAGTTTTGAGTTTAAGAGGGATTTATTAAGACTTGCAGAGATATTTCGTTACACTGCAAAATGTTCATCCCTTTCTTTTGTTTCATTGGTTATTTTCTGGCTGATAGTTAATAACAAGAATTTTCATCGCTATTATTGATGAAGGGTGATTTTCACAGGTCTGATAGATACCATGTTGGCAAAATGTTTTCCTAGACTTAACATGTTTGGTCTATACAGAAATTTTGTCACACACTCAGAGGGTTTATTTAACCTTTCTTAACAATTCTAGCAGTTACTGGGATGTCTGGTGCTAAGGAAGATGATCAGTCAGTGTCAAATGGGATGAGCACAGCAGCAGAAGTTGCTGGTGGGTATACAGTCTGTATGGTGCTGCGATGTAAGATGAACTTTACAGACTGAGATAAAAAATTCAAAGGCAATTGAAGGGTTTATTTAGAGCCAACAATTCAATGATTCTTGTAAGCTCGAGGCAAATTAAATATTATAACACAACAAATTGACAACTAAACACATTAAAGCATTGCAAATAGAAGTATAAGATAAGAATGTGACCTTCATAGAAGGCAAAGCCCCTAATCGCGATGCCAACATTAAATACTAACAATGAAAAGCAACAAATCTTAATGGAGTAAGCCAGCATAAAATAAACCAAAATATAAGAAAAGAAATGTGCATATCTATCCCACACCATGAAAGGTTCAGACTAAGATGGCAATGAAATAGCAACAACAGGGTAAAAGTGCAGATGGCAGGACCAAGAGCTTACTTGAAAAAATCAACCAGAGAAAAATGAACTTTGTACAAATGACATGATGTGTGTAAATTTGATTATTGTACACTTGAAGATTAATATAACCTTTCCTAACAATCTAGGAGCTAACGGGATAGCTCCAAGTCCAAACAAAGATGAATCACAGGAAAATAACGAGAGTATGGTAAAGGAAGTCCATGGTGAGTGTGGTTCAATCTCCATTCATTGTCCTCTATGTACATGTACATGTTCACAATCTTGCCTTACTGACACACATGTACTCTTTGCAATTATTTCATTGTTGTTAATTATCTATTGAATCTAGAAGGTGCCAATGAGAAAGTGCTAGAAGAAGTATCTGAAACAACTGAGCAAGAAACAGGGTTTAGAGTTAAATTATTCTTCAGCTCTCTTTTCCACCTTTTTTTTTTAATGAAATGTGACTATATAGAATATATGTTAGTAACAAGTGGGGTTATGATGACTTCCACCTAAAAAAAAAATTTTGCAGTCATTACAACCAACAACAGATTTTATCAGAACTGTTATGGGCAATTGGGAAGGATCCAGGAATGACTGGCCCCTTCTGGTCTGTTTTTTAGGGAAGTTTGTTTTAAGGAAAGTGGGTATATGTAAATGTGAGGGTGTCTCGATAATTTATATATATTAACTCAGGTTCATATAGCTTAAATAACTGATATTTTATCAACTAGTTTTTTTTAATAAGTACCAAGAGATAAACATATTAAGAACCACTTTAAGGAAAAAAGAGGTAAAAGTTCAGACACTTTTCAGCAGTATCACACCATTTTGACACAATCACAAGCCATTTAACAGTTAATCCATATTCACATTGATCAAACAGTGGCAAATTTCCAGCCTCAGATAACTTTTTTTTTTTCTTTTTAATGGTGGGCATTTGATATTGAAGAATTGCAGACTTTGATTTCTCCTGGTGGAACCTCAGCCAATGGAAACACTTCATGTACAACATGATAGGAAGCAGCTAGCACTGTGCAGACAAAAAGATGCTCCATAGATGAAAAAATATCTACAGGATTAAATTGTGAAATGGTCTTAAATTTGGAAATTAGTTCATATAGGTATATAATAATATTAGAGAAACTAAAGTACATTTTAGAAATAATTAAGCAAGAAATGTCAAAATTAACTGCATGAGGTACATGTTCACCTAAAATTAGTCCAGTTCATTGTTCATTTTGATGCAGGAAAAATTTTGGTATTTATCTTGTCTTTCTGATAGACAATGTCAGACCTTGTTTGACATTTGATTTAACAGTGAATGTTTACTTTACATCATTACAATTAATAGACTATAAAGTTATAGGAAGTCTCTTCAATTTACAGCTATTGTGTGGTCTTTTCATGCAATGTATTCTTTAGCATTATGGTGTGCTGCTTGATAAGACCAAGCAATGGCTTTGCTAGAGACTTAATTAATTATAGAATAGTAGCTTTATATTTTTTATATGGATCCTAACTAACCTAGTGCATGAGAAACAGTGGGTCTATAATGCTTTTATTCATGGGTTCATTTAGTTTACTGAGTGTACACAGTCAAGACCAGTTGCCACTTGGAAGTGGTTGATGTCAGTAGAAGAACTACTACTAATCATTTAGAAGTGAAGCTGGGTAAATACTAGGATAGTGTATAACTCCAAGTCTGAAAACGAATTTTATTAACCTTTTTTTTTTAATTAAAACTACTTTACATTGTCAAGATTTCAACCTTAGGTTGTCCAAACTATAGGACTGATTAAACTCAAGTGTCATTTTGTGTTGTAAACCAGCAAAGAGTGGATTCTCTCTTTGTTCTTTGGTCTACAAAATGTACTAGGCTTTTGATGTGCAGACTGGTAACTAAAAGCACCAGACTGAGGCTAGCAAGGTTTATGTTTTAAGTAAATGACCTCCCAATTGGCAATGCTTTGATCTGCCTTCATGATCCTGTGTCCAAAACATAATTTTAAAATTAATTTGATCATAGTCAACAACAGTTTCTCTTTAAGAGAGAGAGAGAGAGGCATTTTTAGCTTTCCATAATTAACTGGAAGAAATTCACACACCTTATTTAGGGTAAAGCAAAATAAATTCAATGGAAAAAGAATTACCAACCTCCCATTTAAATCATTCCACCACCAATTGTTCCCTCTATGAGACACAACGATGTAATGTTTTTGACTGCTGTCAATCACAGTGTTCGGAATGCCCCCACAGTCAAAAAAGAAAGGAGTCTTCTGTAGTCAAATCTTATATGTGTGTTGATTAAATATAATTGCGTTCATATCGGAAGTTTCAGTGTTTATTTAAGCCTAAACACCACAGTGCACACAACTAAAATTGCATCACACTCAGGATATTACATGGTCGTGCGGGAACACATTTTGTTGAGTGGTGATGGATTCATTGATAACATTTGTTGAAATTAGAGACGAAAGAAAATCGTCCCATAAGAGCATCAAATGAAGTCATTCACGTCGTGCGGCAGGCTGCTTTGGCAGAATTATTCTTCAACCTTCAACATCCAAAGATAAGGCACTTCCTGTCACCAAAAAGTCAAATCCTTAAGTTTTTAAGGAGAAACGGTTTCTTCCTCCATTAGTAACACATTCGTTCTCAAAACTGAAAAACGATTCGATTGGCAGTGTCCCCCACTCCGTTTGGGACGAAGATAAGGAGCCTTGAGATAGAACTGCACGAATTGCGTGCCTAGCAAAACTCGTGACGTAACCGGTCAGGGCCATTTCAGGCCAGGTCAGAAAAATCCATAGTTGGGTGAAGCTCAGTAGTACTTGCAGACTAAATCTATGTTGGAGCCAACTTTGTTGTTGTTTTAGTCATTGTCTCAACCACAGTCAACAGCCGTAATAAATTCCAGCCTATTCCTGTCCTATTACACTGTCCAATTACAAGCATGACGCATACTCCGACCTATCAGATCAAGATACATTTGGCCGAAATCATGACGTCATTTGATCTGATAATCTTAATTTGACTGTAAATAAAACCTTTTTAGAGGCTGAAAAATATAAAGAATGTATCAATTCTTCTTTTCCAAAAAGGGTGGGTCTCATTCAAGGACGGGAGAAAAGGGAGTGGAGGTCAACCAAACCTCCTAATTCCCGGTCCAGTGTGAAAAAACTCTAAAATGTTTAGCGAAATTACATGACAGTGCAGGGACTAATTTTTTCTTGAGTGCTGTTGGATTCCATTGGTGCTACGAGACAAAGTGAATTTGTCCTGGTGGCCAGTCATTTTCTTTTCATTCATATTATGATATCAGTTTTAGATATAAATTAGATGTTGAAATCAACGCACCAAGACACGTTGCCCAACAAATCACCTTTTTAATAATCTAGAGAAATGAATCGCCGTAATTAAATCAGCAGGACAACTAACTAGCTGAACATGGATGACAACCTTTTTCTCTAACAAAACAAAGATCATAATCACGAGTTTCTTGTTTCTTCATTATGTGTTTCTGGTCTCTTAGTGTAAAGTAACAACAATGAAATGATTATCTATAGTTTCCAACGGCAATGTATGAAGTCGAATTTCAAGAGGATCAATTAAAGTCATTCCACCTGATAACATCCAAAGATGAAACACTTTGTCGCAAAAAAAGAGACAAATTCAACCAGGGGAATGCAGATTAAAAATAAGTAGTTTGTAGGTAGAAAAGAAGGAACTGTTTGTTTTCCACCAGTAGCACATCCTTTCCCAAAGCTGTAGAGCTTTGCCTCTTTGTGTGAGATTTTTTAAGGAGAGGAAGGTATAAGGACCCATGCAATGAGTTGGGAGAGAAACTTAAAACTTTGACAAGGTGACATAAGCTTCTGGCTCCTCTTGTTCGGAGGGTGGATAACGCTATCCACTGGGTAAATCTCTGTCCGGTGGATAGCGCAGTACGTTTTGTTAACAGTTATCCGCCCTTTGAACAGCTTAAACGCAATCAAAATGCACGAATTGCATGCCTAGCAAAACTCGTGACGTAATCACGAAAGGGAAATCATGTGACGCAGCCTGACACAGACTGGACGAGGAGAAAGACATGGCGTTGACTTTAATTTTTCTTGGGTTAATTTTGGTTCCTTACTGCCTCTCGTTGAAACCCCTGGCAGGAGGAATACAGGATCGCAAACCTGATGACCCAGACGTCCTTGATGCGCTTGATTTTGCCATGAACGAATTCAATGCTATGCAGAACAACTTGTATCGCTTGATGTCGACTAAAGTTAAGGATGCGACTGTGCAGGTGAAAACGCAGCTTTGTTTGGATCGATTCAAATACATAAGAATTACATGATTGTACATTTTACATCCCTTATTCATACTTAACGAAGTATTGTTCACTCTTTGTTCAGAGTCCTTTCGAAAGAGGTTCGATCGATGTTGAGTAATGCGACGATGTTAGAAATCTACATCCGGTTTGAAAGTCAACTAATTTATGTAACAGCTTTAATCGGCCCTAAACCTAGCGTTGTTCGAAAACAAAAAGATCGTAGTTTAAACACAATTTACAAAATATTCTCGTGAATGAGTGTTGAGAGAAATGATGTACTCTATCGATGTGCTATTGGGATCAATTTTTATTGCGCTCATTGGTGTTGGTGTCATGATCCTAACTGAATTTTCAAGTTGTGGATAGTATGTATGTTACACGATTACAAGCACGTTCTTTCTCTTGCTAGCTGCAGCTGAAAGTTAGCACTCTTTCAGTTACTCTTGTATGTCTTGTGATTTGATCAATTTTCGATACCTTGTTTCGTGCTGAGCTAAAGAAAGGTGCGGATAATAAAGAAAGATAATTATATAGTATAACACACGGGCGCGCGTAGATATGGAATTTCCCAATCTACAAGCAACCATTTATTATTTTTTTATCATCTAAACACAATATAGTGACAAGAACAGCCAACTTCATTAGTGAATGAAAATGAAAGAATCAATAATCTCCAAATAACTATTATATGGTGCGTTGGCGCAAAGACTCAAGATGGAGAAATGTGTTGAATCCTAATTGCAAAAACAAAGATGGGCATAATTTTCAATTTACAAAATTCTCGTGAATTGACTTGGTCCCTACAGACAGCGAAGTCTTTCAGGTACATAGCCTAAATTGGCCTGTGGCCAATCTTCCAGTTGTTGTTTTTCATTTTCAGCCACAAGAAATGCTATTACCAAAGGCAATAAATACCTAACTTTTGGTTTTTCTTTCGTGGAAGGTGAGTTATTTGTCAGCAGTTGATTGGCGATATCAAACACGGGAAAATTTTTTTTATCATATAAACTATGGTGTCACACAACAATTTCCAGCCCTGAGAATAGCCATAACAACACAGTGAAAAAATATTGTATTTTTTCACATGCCTTCACCATAGTCAATCCAAGGTTGTTTGTCTGAATTTTTTTGGATCATGGCTGCTAAAAAATTGAAAAATATGTACTGCCTAGAGAGAGTGATGTTTAAACTTTCCTTAAAGGGGAAGAAAACCAAAATATGGAAAGTAAAACTGAAAATTATGTATTTATTAGCTTCGGAAATGGCATTTCTCACACCTGAGAACAAAAGTCAACAACTGGAAGATTTGCCACAGGCCGATTTTGGCTGTGTACCTGAAAGATTTCTTCTGTCAGTAAGGACCAAGTCAATAACTGAGAATTGTGTATATTGAAAATTACACCCCTCATTTGTTTTTGTATTGTTTCAACATATTTTTTTGTCTTGAGCCTCAGCACCAATGCACCTTTTGATTTTATTCAGGTATTGTTGATTCTTTCATTTTCATTTATTATGTCGACTCTCTTGTCAGTAAAGGGCTGCTGCTACTTGCTTGTAGAAATGAAATTTCTCCTCTTGTGTTAAACTTGTGTCCTTGTGTTCAACTCTTGTGTCTGCTGTGCTCACTTGTGAGCTATTGAGTTAAATACTCTAAGAGAATGTCTATATCTACATGCGCCTGTACATTATTCTC